CCCCCCCAGAAAGGCTTCGCGCCTTCGGCGCTCGCATTCGCACCTTCGGTGCGACTTTATGCATGCACATAGGAAAAAGCCCAGCTACGCGCCTGTCTCCCATACCCTCCCCATCCTCGCGCTGCGCGCTTCGGTGTGTTGCTTTCGGCAACACATTTTATCATTGGGCTTACACATTGAAAACTCGTTTGTTACGCCCCTGTACAATTCAGTGGCTATAGAACGCTTTGCAATCACACGTTATAAAACGATTGAAATACAAAAACACTCTTATTGTTTGTTTCCACTGTTATTCAAACTTTGCACACTTTATAACATTTTGAATTTAACAATTCATTCAAACTGAATAAAATTTGGATATTATTTTTTTACTCATATACATTAATTGGCAAATTTATTTACAGAATCTAAAGATCGTATATACACAACTATCCCAATTATTTATCATGCGATCAAACAAGCTATTGTGATATTTACACCAGCATGACGCAACATGCTGACAAATTGTGCTTAGTTGTCAAAATACTCTGAAATTAAACACGTGTATACTTAAGATATTCAACGCGCATGCGTAGGGAATCGCGATCGAACAGGAATAAAACAACCATTCTAAGCCTAAATGTATGATCTGTCTGTTTGAATGAAAAAGATAGCATACAATGAATATATTTCAATATCAGAGAGAGAAAATTATAAAGTTTAGAGAATTAGGGATTCTCTGAGCTTGTATATTAAAATGATCTCAAACCTGAGCCTATGTTTACGTCTCTTTATCGAGCAACCGGTATTTTGAATAACCCAATTCCATAAATAGATAATTGACTGTTTTCTCCACTAAGCTCACCGATATAACTGGCACTTGACTTCACACACCAGGCCCCGGTTGCGCACAGCCTGGTTAGAGTGAACCAGTGGTTGGCAAACATTTCCAACTCTGAATAAAACATATGTTATCTTTTCATTGCTTAAGACTTGATCTTACAAAAATTGTTCATTTGTTTTGAGGATTTATTTTACATGGAAAGTCCTTGCTTCTAATTTAAACAAGTTGAATTGGTACTAACCTGTGGTTAAAGTTAACGAGCCTTTAAGCAACAAGGGCAAGATATTTAACATGTATCATCATTAACAGCAGACATCGGCACGACAGCGGACGCATTATATACTACTATAGTCAAACCGTTCCATAAATTGTACCAAAGACAGGAATCAAAACTTTGTGAATGCAAGTATGAATTAAAGACACAACATTTCGAGGATATTTTTGTTATATTTATAGACATATGCTATTGATAGACAGGTTGTAGAAGGTTTTACTGTATTTTAGCCCATAAGCATGATACAGAACAGAATCTGCACTGCGAACATACTTATATTAAACCACCTTTTCAATGTCGCATTGATGGTTTGTTGTGAATGTGGGAGGCGGGGGTTGGGCATGGCCTTATGAATATTCATAACACTGTGTAGTGTTAGTCTATGTAGAGTAACAAAGCATAACACTCAATCTAACGTACTCTTGGTGTGGACGCACATATACAGAGTGTGGAATATTGCCATTCCATAAATAGATAAAGATCCTTCGATTTCTCAAACTGCGTAAGAGTGAATAAGTCACCAGCTTTACGCAATATTGGTGTGATTTTTAATTTATAAGTGTTCATTAACGGGTGCATTTCATTTAGTGATTATTTCTGTCTATAATCAAAACCTGGTTTTCGTGTTGCTTAAGCCCGTGATACTCTGTGATAATGAAGAAGACGAATTTTGAAGGTAAACGTTTTCCCAACTGCATTTTAGTATCATTTACCTGAAATAAATTTGGAATTACTTATTTGGTATATAGGTAATTATTCATTTGCGTTTCTATCGGTCTACAGAAGAGATACCGTTAAGAAGTATATATATTCCTTCTGTTTCAACATAAGTTAAGATCTAGTTTCACTTTTTTGTTACCTCAACTAGCATCACCAATGAGTTCTAGAAGGAGGAAACAGATGTATGGTGTGGTGTAATTTATTTTTGACATAAGGAATCACGGAAGTCTAATGGTAGGACGCCGGGCTCGTGACCGAAGGGTTGCGGGTTCGAGTCATGGTACGGCACTGTGTGGTATCTTTGAGCAAGATACGTTACTCCGCTTGTGCCAGTCTACTCAGATGTAAATGAGTACGTGATTGGGCATGGCTAGAGCTGTTGAATGCTAGCTGCGAGTGCCGATTTGGCAGTATCGGCTTATGCTCCCCAGGGAGTTGAGAAAGATATTGGCTGGTTGCAATGACCCCATAACAATGGATAATAATTTGTGAACCGCTTTGAGACGACCTACGAATTAGGTTGTGATAAAGCGGTACATAAGAACCTCGAATTATTATTATTATTCTGTATTTATTACCAAATTTTATATTTGAAATTACGTACGTGTGTGTATCTTACATTCATCTTTTATAAAAGGTTTGTGTTTTGCTTTTTTTAGGTAGAATGTATCTCAAGTGTTTTCAATGAATTTATGTGGTATAGATTCATAGATAAAAAGTTTCGCCGACATTAGGTATTTATATACCTCATCTTTATTGCGTCGTCTCTGATTGGATTATACTGGTTACATGACGGGCAATAAAACATCATGTCGCCCTATCGCGATCAAGTTTCCCAAATCATGTCCCCTTCCTCGGGGCCTCTCTACAAAACTTGGGAAGAGCCACTACAACCTAGTCCGAGAGACGAAAGCAGACGACAGCAATGGCGCGTCAACTTGACTATCTCTTATAGTGTATTATTGTTTTTGATATTATCTTTAGCAATGAACTATAGCTGAGGTAGCCTATGACCATATCGAAGAGTCTTTAGCGATGAGCCCTCACTTTATTCAATTGATATATCTTCGTAGTAAAGCTATTTTCTCGATCAGGGAATATATTTCTTTAGCAAAGAGTAATCATTTAATTAAGTTTTGGTTTTGTTTTGTTTTGTTTAACGTCCTGTTTACAGCTAAGGTCATTTAAGGACGTACCTCAATGTGTGTTGTGTAAGCATGCATGTGTGAATGTGTGCCGAAGACAGGGTGTGTTGGTGTTATTGCCTCCTTCTGATAGCGCAGATCTGGTGCGGACTATAGTGCTATCTCACTGAAATACCGTGCCAAAGGCACTCAGCACAGTATTCTGCCCGGTCATATGGTACTGACAACGGGTGAACCAGTTGTTACCATTACCCTAAATGCTGAATGTTAAGCAGGGAATAACAACTACTATTGTTAAGGACTTTGGTTTGTCCCTGCCTTGGGACAGAAATCATTGCCTTCCTCACCTGGGCGAACGCTCAACGTTAAAGCCAAAATCGAGGTATTGCCACCCAGGCGCTAAGAAGGTAGCTAATTTTGTAATTGGTGCAGCAGATATATTTTGGTCGCTTTTTTGACCCCAAATCGAGGGCACAAATGCAAATCCCTAATTCTGCAGGGGTTTACGCATTAGTCGCCTCTCATGATACACTTTTCTCGATCCCCGACTTGCAGGACTGACCTAATTAAGGAAGCATTTGTTCATAATGAAGAGCTCTCGCTGTCTTTAGGCTAAAGTATCTTTATCAAAATTAAAAGATATCTACGTGACGTTTGGTGGACGTTGCATGACGGCTAGTTTGGTCGTTTATCAAAAGAATCGCGCGGAAGCGTAACGGTAAATCTAACCAGTCGTGTATCACTCCTCTGTAATCCTCAAATGACATTTATATATATCTACTTGTAATCAATCAAACAACTAACTGCATGCCTTCGATTTTGCCATGACAAATGGAGAAGTTAAGAAAATGTAAATAATGGTAACCCCAGGAATTTTGAGGCAGAACTTGTATATATCTTTAACAAGTTCCCCTTAATATCTAATTACCTATTATTTAATATTCGTTCGAGAGATATATATCTCTTTAAATATATATCATAAATATATATAGAAATTGTATTTCTTTGCACTTATATCACAGAGATATATGTATATGTATTAAACACATGTAATGATTGGGTTGGGTGTCTTGGGTTATATTTTAAGAACAATTCGTTGTCCTCGCTTAGAAGTTTTTTTATTCACCAAAGACGTTTCAATCTTTTTTGTTTTATTATTGCAGCGATCAAATGAAAACGGCAATGCAAGCTAAACTAGAATCTTTGGCCTAGTAGAACAAATTAATCGATCGTTTATTAATTGATAAATACTTGAACTTATTTCAACAAAGAATTAAAAATATGTTATCAAAATTACAAGTTCATATGTATATATATTTTATATAATACGTTTGTCGTTACAAACACTTTATGTAGACCTCAGGCCGAGTATTACTGTGTTACGGTGGTATACCGGTAATGTACAGATAAACTAAACTAGTTTAACTTGTTACCAATTTCTTAGACCAGGAAGGAAATTAAGAGAGGTTTTCAACTCTGCGTATGAGAGGTATTTCTTTCAAAACAACGAAATGTGTTTAACACTTGTCAGGAAACGGCAGGCTATTATGCATAACATTGAGTTTTAGAATCGATATCTGTGTTGTTTCCTTCTTAATCGTCTAGTACAAACAATAACCCGAAAAGACAAACACTATTAAAAAACCTAAATATTTAAACCAATTGTTAACAAAGGAAATGTTTGCATACTTTGTTTGCATACTTTTTTTTAATCTTGTAGTGCACATTGCAACCAGAGAAGAAACAAACAGTAACACATGTAGCAGAAATAACATACTTGAATAGTTTAACCTCTTTTTTTAAAGAAAAATACTAACAGGATATGAAATATATGTATGTGTTAATATATATACATTTCTCCCAGTCTCTGCTTTACAATCAAAATTTCTTGGATCAAATCCTGGAGGTGCTTTTATAAAAAAGGAAATTATGACGAACAATATTCTTTGCTGTTGTTAATTGTCAAACAATCAAAGTGAGTGGGGGCTTTGAGAAAAAGAATTAACCGGAGTGGATCGACAGCTCCTTGAAGGGAGTTTTTTAAGGACACAGCATTGTTTCTTGAGGTTTACTTCAAGACTACCAGTAAAGTATCTCTTTTGATACAATAAAAAGAAATACAAAACAAAGAAGATGGTTCTCTTACACACTGCTTTACTATGCATTAGAAGGTCATGAGGCCTATGTATGTGTATCATATGTATGCTTTAGTCGTCAAATATGAGTTAAAAGCTCAGCTGTCTTTGATACGTTGACTGTTTTCTTTTAATCTCAAAAAGTGTATAATGTCTCAAATATGACCAGTTTTCAAAATGATTTTCCTTTCAATTAATAAACATGTGTTTTGAAAGTTATAGTTTTATATTAATAACAACAAGGAAATAATCAATATTAAAACATGGGCAATGGTGATGTTACAAATAAGAAAAGGGCATGATATCGAGGTTTTACTGTACATTATATTTGGACGTCAAGTTTAAATGAACTTTAACAAGAATATAATCGGGGTAGTCATATCTTAGTTTGATATATATCTAAAGAAAGTATCTCTTAAATATAAATTCGCTATAAAAATCAATTCGCTAATGAGTCTCGCGATTAAGCTTGTATTGGATCTTTCACAAAAGGTAAATGCGTCCTCCAAAATGAAGAGGAAATTCTTCAGTACTGATTGATTCGAGGGATTAAATACAACTGACATCATTCTAAAACAAGAGGCCCAATGGGCCTGCATCTCTTACCTGGTATTAATCTCACAATTGTAACAATAAAAATGGACTAAAATAAAGCTACAGGAAAAATATCAGTGTATTGACTTAAAATCATTCCGAAGAATCTGTTAAACGATTGAAGCACGTTTGCCCCCAGTAACCTTGAAAGTTAAATATGGACATAAAGTTGAATAAACTGTATTGCCCTTCATCCCAGGTGGAACTTGCTAAATAACACCACCCTATACCTTTTGTTTATTGAGAAGATGACTTTTACTTTATGCACTATGGATCAGATGTGACCATGAAAGTGTGTCAAGGTCATTCACATGAACAAACAATCACCCTGTACGCTTTAGTATTTCAGAAGAAGACCTTTTAAGATTTCAACATATTTAACCCCTGTGGACTTGAATATGGGCAAAGGTCATTCATTTGAACAACCTAGGTAACCTTTCATTCTAACATCCGCCTGACCAAATATCATCACTCTAGACCTTTTAGTTATACAGAAGAAGTTGTTTAAAGGTTTTTAAGACAATTGACTCCTGTGACCTTGAATATGGGCGAAGATCATTCATTTGAACAAACTTGGTAGTGCTTCATCCCAACATCCTTCAGACCAAATATCATTACCCTGGACCTTTTGGTTATACAGAAGATGTTGTTTAAAGGTTTTTAAGACAATTGACCCCTGTGACCTTGAATATGGGCGAAGGTCATTCATTTGAACAAACTTGGTAGCCCTTTATCCTCGCATGCTTCTGACCAAATATCATTACCCTGGACCTTTTGATTATACAGACGAAATTGTTTAAAGGTTTTTAAGACAATTGACCCCTGTGACCTTGAATATGGGCGAAGGTCATTTATTTGAACAAACGTGATAGCCCTTTATCCTCGCATGCTACCTGGGCCCAGGCCTATTGGTTATTCAGAAGAAGTTGTTTAAAGTAAAAAGTTGACGCCGGACGGCGCCATGGCATAAGCTCATTTGGCCCTTCGGGTCAGGTGAGCTAAAAATGCAGTTACTGTACATTCTTTATACAATCACTCGCCTACATTGATTTTGATATTTGATGTACAAATAGTAAGATTAAGATAATAAGAAAATCATAAGGATGATGATATTTTAAAAGTTGTTTTTTCGAGGGATTCAATTTCGGAGTAAAACATTTCTTCCCTGCGAAACATAAAACCCGCGAAATTAATCCTTATTGAAGCACATTTAACCATGGCCATTATACCTAAAACTGAATCTGCAAAAATAACCCTTAACATAAATCCGAAAAATCAATTAACGTGATAAAAGACTTTGACAGCTACTTTGAATTTCAAAATGCCGTCAAAGTGAAACGCCAAAAAGTCGTCTTAATAACGTTTTATAATGAAACGGCAACAATTATTTTGCATATTGTCGTAATAAGGGGAGATAATTAGGCACACTTAGCTTGTATCTTACTCCAAAAAATCCAATCAGTGCACATCCCAAGACGATAATGGTGCCAAGAATTATTATGACCAGCTCCTCTTTGTCCAGTATCTCGCCAGTGGTCAAGATAAATATTACCATTGACAGCTGTAACAAATAAAACAAATCGTTTTGTTTCTGATCCTTAAACAAATCTGACATTAACAAACACACAGCGCTAAATCATCATTCTTACTGAAATCAAGACCTCGGATAGTAACAGCATAGCAAAAAAGATCAACTTTCATATAACACAAAGAAATAGCATATTTCCCTGGTGACGACAATAAACTTGTCCATAGTTTTAATCAGCTTGCCTCTTTGGAAACCCTGTGCTGTAAGTGTTTTCGTCAGCAGTCGATATCTATCACGGCAGCCATGATATTCGGAGCAAACTCTTGAATACTGATTCACCTGGGACATGTAAACATCGAAGGTAGGGTAAGACGGGATGTTATTATTCATGTAAAATAAAAGGACTTAGGTAGATTTTTGTTACCAGTCTTGATAAGATGATAAAAAATGAGCTTCATATCAAATCAGAAACAAATCGTCCAGACAAAAAAAATAGCTAATCAGATTAACGCTTAAATGAATGGGCGTACTTCCAGATGTTGATGGGTCCTTTAAGTCTGAAACACTTGTTTCCGTTCTTTAAAAGTGGTCTATACGAGATATGTTGACTCGTCAACTTTGATCTATCTTCCAATCAGAGCTTTTAAATCACAACATGCATATTATATTTTTAGAATTGGGTTCCTTGTTAGATTTAAAAATTTGACCTATCTTGGTTACAATCTTTCACACTATTGTTACAAATCGGATCTGTAAGAAGTTAACAGATTCGTCATAAAAGGTCTCTTCTCCAATCAGGAAATAAATGTGAACAGCCATTGAACACGGTAATCTCAAAAGCCTCTTTATCAGGAAAGCCAAGCTGAGATGCCTATAACTCTGGATCAAGGATAAATCTGGAACTCCTCAAGCTATAGAGCTTAAGACACCAGCCTAAGTTACACATGAGATACCTCAAACTCGGGCCAGACAATACATTTGCAATCCACATGCCTCTACGACCAGTTCAGGATTTAAAGCATTGGACTTCCTCTACATCAAAGACCAGAACATTCGCCTTGGACAAAGCTTTCTTTCATATATAAAATAGGGGAGAAACAGATTAACAAGATGGGATTAAAGTCTAAGCGATAGATTGTTGTTCTACGATGATGGAGCTAGATTTGGTTTATGGTGATACACTCAAACTGTAGTTTACTATACTTACCTGTACTTAAAAGCAAGACTAACGCATAGAGGGACCACGGAACCAAATCAAAAATAGATTGTGGGTTTTTCCCTTTAGGGCAGAAGATTTAATGGGAAGGTGAATGCCTCGGGGCCTGCTGGTTGGATATTTAGATGGCAGAAGTTTCAAAAGTTTTATGTGTGGGTTGAGCAATATATAAAGATGTAATATGCATAAAAAAATCAAGTCTGCTTTTGTCTGGGCGCGTTTATTAAGTGTGTAATTTGGTCGATTTTTGGTGCCGAATTCAATACAAGATGGCCGCCCCCATATAATAAAAATTCAAATTAGCAGAATTTTAAAATATTCTGTTTACAGTTGTGTAAGATGATGTTCTTCAAAATGAGGGCAGGTAAACCAGTGTGGATAACCCCATTTAACCAGGACAGTGGTAAACGTTAACACTATCGTCTATGGAAAATCATTTGGTTCTGCGGTCCCTAGAGGAGGTCATTGGAGGTTTTAGGTAAAATGGCAAGCCTCCAAATGGTCAGTACCAGTGAGACCAAATAAGACAGAGCAGTTACTGCTATAAACACCCACTCTTTCTTCTTCAGATCATTTCAGGTCCGTCTGTTTTAAACGTTTAAAGGGTCGATGCAGAGAGACATACCAAATTTTGACGGTATTATATCGGGGCGGATCCAGGATTTCCTAAAAGGGGGGGCCGAGAATTTTTTCTCAATAGTCAGCGGTGCGCTGCGAAAGGCAGCAGCCCGAGCGCGTAGCGCGAGGAGGGGGAGGGTACAGACCCCCTCCCCGTAAGGCGGGTTTGGGGGATCTCCCCACCAAAAAATGTGTTTTCTAGAACGTCTCAGAAGCGATTTCCCGTGTTCTGAGCATTATTTTTATGTTTAATTAATAAGAAGAAAAAGCATATTTTAAGTATGGCCCAAAGACTTTTTTTGTGTACTGGAAAGAAAATTAAAGTTTCGGTTCAAATTCTCTATCAACAGCGTGTTTTAGAAGTTAGATGGTATTATTATAGGGGCAACCTGGTGATGACAAATGTATGAATCCACAGGGGGCTTGTTCATTATTACTTAATTTGGCGTCCCGTCCGCTGAAGGGGGATACGAGAGGCCCGCCGTCAAAATATAAATCTAGTCTCCAGACATTGTACGTTTGTCGTACAAAAGAACAAATAACACCATAACATCGATGCTGTTTTAATTAATGAGTTACTCATGGCATCACTAAGTTGCTAAACAAACGGTAAGTTCAAATCAGTGCGACATCCAAGGCCACTAGCTATATACAGGGGCGTTTCTAGGATATTTGAAAGAGGGGGCGTAGAATAAAATATGTTGCCGAGCGGAGCGAGGCGAAAAAAGTTTTGCAACTTTTTTTTCTAAAAAACATAAAATAATTGTGAAATGTACTAATGTAACGGTTCCTGACTTAGAACATGTATATTTTATAGTTGAAGTGTCATGGTTTGACATTTTTTTTTTATCAGAGTATGTCTTTAATTAATGAATATGATAAATTGCCATATTCAATACAATATTAGCAGATTACGATAAAAAAATCTATTTTTTTTTTAAAGGGGGGGGGGGGGGGGGGGGGCGTACGCCCATTACGCCCTCACCTGGGGACCCATCCCTGATATAGTCTCGCGTTTTATAATTGTTGACTAATTCACTAGTGTAGACAATGATATATCTGAAATGTCCACGCTGATTAACTCGTGTAAGGGCGTGCATATTACCAACGGTGGTACATTTGCTAAGCTATCTGGTTAAAACGGTACAACTTAGGAGGCACATACGCGTCACCTTTAAATTTAATTTAAAATTATCATACTTGTAAGTACAGCATATCATCTCATTCTGGTACGTACAACTTATTACTACGTACACAATAGTATGCTGTGTGAAGATACTTTCTTGTACGTACACGATGGTAAGCTATAAGTACCACAACGAGATATTATGTTGTACATACAAGATATAAAAACAGTTCCAATAATATATATATGATACCAAAATAATTGAATGGATATGTTTAGTCGATTATACATAATATTCTCAGCCGAAAAAAAACTTTATCGTTCTTGTATAATGATATGATTAATATCGCCCGGGCGGTTAGGAAGGTTACAATAAAAAATATTCATTTTCAGATCATCTATATCGAGCGGTCAATAATATAATTATGCAACTTATGCTAGTATATTTCCGCCGAGCGTTGCAAGTTGTAACTTGGGGTTTTGCGGAGGTGGTAAAATTAGAAAAAAAAACAAAAAAACTTTAGGGTCAAGATACAAAGTTATTGTTTAAATAAAGAAAATATAGTAAAAATATCAGATAACGGAAACCCACAATATTTGTTAGGATACCGTATGGGATGTGTGGGGCGTAGCCCCAGATTTTTTTTATACAAGCCCCGTGCATTATTTGATGCATATTAAAATGTTAATATGTTCCCATTCCCGGCCGATCAGTCCATTATGGGCCGGCCCGGAAAAGGTCAGTCCGCCGTCAAAAGGGGGGGGGGGGGGGGGGGCCTGTTATATAACTATTCGTCCATTTTGGACTCATTTATAGAACTAACGGTAAAAAGGATGAACAATCATATTTAAGTTGTTCCTATACGTAATGTTCAAATCCAGCAACAAGGGAAATGTGTAACTATAATTAGGATAGGATTATGCATCAGTCATTATCTGCAAGGGACCTCAAACATTATGATTATGTCACAATTATATAATGTTAATTAATTCGTGATCACCACACCGAAAGGTCAAAACTTTATTTGAATTTTGCATGGTTTACATAAAGAACATGTAAGTAAAATGAAACTTTGCACACATAAATGATTGTATAGTAACAAATTTATAACCAAAATCTAAGACCTTCAATTTTCCCTAAGCCTTACTAATATAACCTAAACATGCGTGTGGTTATAGGTTATATGAGTGAGGCGTAGGGAATTTTAAGTTGTATTTAATAATGTATCAAATTGCTAAAAGAAAACTTTTGAATTCTGTGTGCCATACTACTGTTACCATGCCGCCAGGAAAGGTTGTGTTACAAAGGGTCCTTGTCCCAAAGATCTCCAGGTCTTGTTTACGTAGAGTGTGTGTGTCATCCTCTGATCCGTGTCCACTATCTCCGCCATCAGCCATGTTGTCAATGTAGACTTATAACTGTTGTGTAGTTACTATCGTGTTCGATCGTGTTCGATATTTTTCCAATAACTGTATTGTCTTCATACAGCTATTGAACTTGCATAATCGAGACAATAGAGTATATGAGTCTTGTTTTTGTGTGTTTTGATCACGTATAGATATGGCTGCACGCTCAACACTTGATTGACTTCACCTCTGACTTTTCGAGGAACTGCGATTTTTTAAAATGCACTTTGAAATTAATTATATAGATTACATCTGTAAAAGAGTTCTAATGGTAAAACACTATTCTATCTTGATAGCACTCTTAACCTTAACTTAAATGATAACACACATTATATGTCAATTACAGACCGTAGATGTATATTGATCTACTCTAGCCAGCCTTGTAAGTTATAATAATGCTTTGACATATATCAAAAATGTTGAAAGTCAACACACATATCTAACAAAATGAAACTTTAACTGTTCTTTCTTTCATTGAGTATAACAATATGGATCCGTTCTAGTAGTGAACAGTAGAGCAATACATGTATGACATTTATTACATAAAAATCGCTAATCTATAGCGGGCATGTCCTCTATTAAACTGTGTAACATTGCATTGATACCTCACCGCTTTGACTGTGTATAACGTCCTATGACGCTAGCTAGAATGTTGTTCTACTCATACAGTGCACATCAACGCTTGGGCAAGTTCTTATAAGTACCGGGCTTTTTTTGCAGAGAGTTCGATCGTTTCCCACGGACAGACAATGCACCAAAAATGTTCCTTGGGTGACACGGAATTCCACTGTATAAATTCCCGATTAAATCTTTTAACATCGCTTAATAAAGACTCTGAACGGCTCGGTGCCGAATCATAAATATCTTTTATATATGAAATTTAGATGTTTACAATTATTAAACAACGACAAAAAAGCCCCCCAGAAAATGTATTATTAAGAAATGTATCTGTATGTAGATTAATTCATTGCCATGTATGTCACTGCTATAAAGACACCCGTGAACCCTTTAGCTGGTCAAATCGTGGTGGTTTTTTTTTACATTTACAAAGGGGTTACGTGAAATACTTAACCGAATGTGTTACCGTAATTAAGCTCTTGAGGAACCCGTTCAAACAGAAATGTTTGGATTCCCTTAAAACCACATGTTCTACCCCCAGTTAAATAATTTGACACTTTAATGAGCACGTTACCCTTGTGTACTACAGAGCTATGAAGAAAGTAGAAAAGATCAATTTTCAACTTACATGTTAGTCTTAAATATTTAATAATCACTTCTGCCTTTTCGCCATACCATACGTTTCATGCCAAAAACAGTGCGAAACCAAGAAATTAAAGGCATTGGTTAGAAATGTTTTAGCGAATCTAGTACAATATGTATCTCTCTGCACTTTTATTAACATAGTTTCTGGAACACGATAGCAAATCTACCTGCACACATATTATATAGAGTTACACCATCAAACACATAGCTGTACCCGGGCCATCCCAGCCCCCTCCGGCCGAGGCCTTTCCTGGCCTCTCGCTCTCCAGACGATCATATATTATTCCCGACCTTGCATCCCGTCTCTCCACTATTGACTCCCTATAAAATTCTCCCCAAGTACTTTTAACAATCTGTAAAACATTAACTTTTCATGAGTAGGTACTCCTAGTGTAACAAGTAACGAGGCACGTGCAGCAATTTGATCCTACTTCTAAACTAAATCATCCCCCCCCCCCCCCCCCCCCCTCTTCGTCCAAAACAACAAAATACTAGATGTACCATATGGCAATGACAGCTACCCCTGTCTGGTTTGGGAAGCTCACACCCTCGTCCCTATCTGGTCGCCACTACATGGCTAGCCCTAGCCCTGTAGCACTGTTTACAATTCAAAAGTCCCCCTGTCAGTCACTGCACGGTGTTACCCAAATCGTAAGAGTTTGCCTCAAATGTACTTTTGACCAAAGAGCTTCTCTCTATTGATACCCACTCTCTTACATGTTATAAGATAGATCCATTCTTTATCATTCATTAATTACCTAATTTACAGCCCATTTTGTTACAGTACTGAGGAAATATTGTGATATTTGTTGTAATTGCGAAGTCAAATATGCTTCTTACAACACTAAAAATGGGATTGATATTTCACTCACGTTATCCATTCGCTTATATAACCATTTTTGTTCAGGTTTTCTTCCGCCATGAAGACAGCAGAATAACTTTGTAGCCGACATCCAAGAAGTCGCGTAGCTGACAGTTCTTGTGACATTGAAGGCAGGATCAGTGCCCTGCTGTTCCTGGGAAAAAACAAAACATATTCTGGTTACCGTAACCGGGTCATAGTTGTCCAATATCTACGGAACAAAGACAATTATAACCGGGGCACCATCCTGCTCGATCTACTGTAACGCTTTCTCTATTAATTACAATGGCGGGGAAATGTAAACACCCATTGCTTGTGCCAAAGGGTTTGGTTTCCAAGAGATAAAATCAGAAAGTCGATTATTTTACGTTGACGTAGAAAGATTTATGTCTGGAACACCATACACGATTGTGATGAATTTAAAGTTTCTCGTTCAGTTTGCATTGTTTAATCACTACATAGACAGCTAATCCGTCAATATTAACATTTTACCTGCCTGGGATCGATGTGTGCTGCCATTAGCTCGATCATTGCACCACTCCCAAATCATTTATTACCACTTCATATAGGCAGTGTCTGTTGTATTATCTATTTCTATGGAAGTTAATAAGTTAAAAACATCAAAAGAAACAAGACTGTCTGGAATTCGGAAATTGTGTTGACTACAAGTAATCTCAAATTTAAATGACAATACGGATTACCATTCTGGTACCTACCTTGACATCGGGGTCATCAGTAGTCTTAATTATGCAACATGGTTTTCTAGACAACTAAGTGGTTGTTTATTCTGATTTTTTTTAATGATTGTCCTCAATGGAAGCTACTGGTTTACATGCTTCTCCATAATGTGTTGGATTACATATCATGTTGACCAATAAAGTAATTCCTTGCAAGCAGAATAAGACATACGATAGTCAGTGACCATGGCCTAAGTCACAACTTTGATATCTGTGACTACCATGATTAATAAAATGTCCAGATTGTTATTGAGCTTCAAATTCTCCAGTGTTTTATAGATGACACGTGGTGCAGGAAGCGCTTATTTTTCCTGCAATACACAATTGCGCATGCGTGTAGGTTGATGTGTTATTCTCTGTTCCAATTGTTTTACGCACCGACTATTAATACTTGGAGCTTTGATTATCCATGCGTGAATTAATTCATCGATATGTTTTTTTCATTTATCAGTTTGTAGGGTGGACCAAACTTGTATTTCCTGGTTTGATCTCTTAACAGTACCAATCTGATGGTATTTATGGCAGGATACAAGCTGAACAGGAGACAAAAAAGTGTTTATATAAACTTTTTTTTCCTTTTACATATTTCTTATTCAGCAAGGACTTTCACATTACCAGTAGTCATAATAATGAGGGCCTCAGTCTTTTTCTCATGTTTAGAAGTGCCAATATGCTATTTATAACGTAGTTTTTTTTTATTAAACCAAAAGGAATTGCATAATATATAGATGTATCTACATAAATACTGACAAGCATATTCGTGGAAAAGATAAGTCACTATGGAAACTTTTCATTGGAGAATTTCTAGTATACAACAATTTTATTGGATACAATATATACATATGACCGACTGATACCCTGAGCTTCGGTAGTTTGGGAATAAGACAAGGTGCAGTTATTTGTCCTTATGTATTTGATATAAAAATCAATTACAGGAGAGAAGTTAAGAGTTTCTGAAAACATTATTTTCAATACGAAATAGATCTGTTACAAGAGTGATCTCCCTTTGACCATAAGTAGGGAAAGTTGTATTCTGACTAACAATTGCTGCCCTTGCCCATATTCCCAATCATTATAAAAAATCATATCCTCAGCAATCATAATGTATTAGAGTAATTAAATAAATTTTTATGTGCACACCACATTTGGTTGAAATAGGACCATTATTAGAGCACTTATTACACGGAAACCAATTAGACAATCAGAATGCATAAGTGTAATTAAGAATGCGTAAATACTTAATCTTAAACATGTTGAAATGTATGTGCACACCAAATTTTGTTAAAATTAGACAATCATTAGCATAGCCATTGCACGAAAACTGAAATGTGACAGACGGACTGGCCGAACTTAATATCCCCTGTAATTCTATTTTAAATAAAAACCACCAAGATAAGATTTTACATATAAAAAAACTTTATTCCTTTACCTCTCGCACTGAAACACTATGAATTGTACTGAAAAAAAGTATCTTGATGAGTTTGTCTTTGTGGATAATAAATACTGTATTTTGTTCCTCAAACAAAACATGCTGATTGAAGAATTTATCAATTTTCGGTGTAGATCTAGTTTATCCATCACATCATCCTTTGTCCGTGTGAACATGGATTGTGGTTCACTGTGGTGTTTCTTCCGTCAGGATGTTTCCATGAAGATCTATTTTTGACGACAACGATTACTTTGAAATGATGTTTACTTGGTGCTGGTTGAGAAGAGGGCCAGTAGACCTGCAGCGAGTCCCACAGAACAGAGGTAATTACTGAAGGTAAGAGTCAAGGACAATTATAGAAAAAACGTAAGACATATTGTTTTTCTTGTATATAGGGTGTTGATATCCGATAATATATTTTCATGAACTTAAAAATGGACAGAAGTATAAACTAAAACATTCCTTTGGCAAAAAATTGTCAAAACATCACATTGCCATATTTGATTATTGAAGTTACCCAGTTATACTGATATAAGTGTAGGTGTACAATCTGAAAGGACTGGCATTCAATATTTTAAGTACCTAGGGTAAATAATGTGTTTAACAAATACATTTATTGAGGGATATTATTCATTTGTTTGGGTGGCAGTTACATGATTTGAAATAATGAATGAGTGATTTTTGTAGAGTCCTGAACATTTTTAAAAAGAGATTTTTCAAAACATGAAAAGCATCTGTCAGGAAGACTAAAATACCTTAGTCCCAAAAATTACTGATATATTGTTGTACATGTACACTTAAATTGCTTTTGATCAAAATACATGAATTGTCTGAGCAGGTGTGTATTGTGCTGACAGTCAGACGGTACTGGTAGCTTGGTATGGATTGTTTTTCTTTGTTGTATTGGAGTATCATTAATTTGTATTAATCAATACACTTCATCAAATATGGTAAATGAATAACAAATAATGTTCAGCAGCATATTTTTTTTTATAAATATAATTAGTTTTCTAAAAAGCTTTTATATCTTTCATGAATAGAGTTGAATTTTCAAGTTGATTTACATTGAAAACATTTCATAATGTTGAAACAACAAAAGTGATTTTTTTTTATATATATATATATATAGAAAAAATAAGATTAACGACCGACTAAAAAACAAGCTGCTTTCGCCCTTCACAGGGCTCTTAAGGTTTATTCTTTTTGAAAAACCCTGAAGAGCCCGGTGAAGGGTGAAAGCAGCTAGGTTTTAAGGCGGTCGTTAATCTTATTTTTTTATATTTACTTCCTTCACATGGACATTTAATCTCTTTTTATTATACATATATATATATATTTCAAACCTTATTTCTTTACAAAACTTTTGACTGAAGTTAAAAGAAATGAACATATCCTGATTTGCTACTGTATATATATAGAGAGAGAATTATATGATGCTAGTTTAAACACAGGTAGGATCCTGTGTTAAGAAAGGATACAATGTGGGGTTGATGCTCCTCAGGACGTAGAAGGAAGCAATGACTAATAACACCAGGTAAAAGGCGTTATTATAGAAAATGGAAAAAGTTGTAGCTTCATAATCAGCAACTTCATTTTTCTTCCAAAGTATTCTGCAAATAAAAAATACATCGTCGTCACCATCAATGAAATAACCGTTCAAATATAGTTTGATGTTCCTTTTTGCTGTATCAGTGAACATTTTCAAATGAGGAAATTTTCTCATAGGCAGTTGTTCTAAAATATATTTCTCTTCATCTCTATAATCTAGACAATCTTTTATTACATATTCATCTTGAGGTTATTTTCGCTCTTATTTACTCAAGGTGAAAAAGTAAGCTTTTCCACACCATGAAAATGGACACTTTTACTTTTCCATGTCTATTAATACTACTTGACTTGACTATTTGATAATAAGATATATTTGAAATGTGTCATAGAATGTCAAAAACTATTCATATAGCCCATCTTTTGTAAATTTTATCAGGCTTTTTACAAATATGGACATGTTGACTTTAGACAGAAAAACTGTCAGTCTATGAAATGATAGATTATTTACTTACCTTTCATCTTTTTCTTTCTTTGTCATACGTTTATCATCAGCAAATTTCTTTGTCATCTCTCTGGACACAGCATCCTCCCTTTTTAGAGCAATTCTGTCAAATAAACGATATTTGTTTAGTAAACAATTGCTACTTACTGTATATTTACATCAAGAATAAACAGATGAAAATTTAATAAAATCCAACCTCCATAGTTAAACTTTAAACACACAAATAACAAAGTGAAAATCAAAATCATAAAAAGTTATTTTTAGAGTATTTCTGTTAAAGATGTAAAAAGCCCCCCCCACCCCCCAAAGATCAATGTGTGTACCCGGTAACTAGCTATATTCAAATATTCATGTCATGCATTGTATATTATTGGTAGAGTTGGGTAAGGTTCTTCAATGGTCTAATTATCCAGTCATCTGCCCATCGTTTGGATACCCAAAAGTACAGGTTACATTGTCATGTACAGGTTACATTGTCATAGATTCAAATCAATCATAAGCGAAAGAGCAGGCAGTTTTTGTTGTTAATTAGAAGTGTCAACCAGGTTAGCCTCTACAGTTGGCTTCCTCAGGACTTCTTGTTGGTATAGTTGTTATTAACTTTGATAAAAAAAGGTATTCATGAAATTGCTGGCATGTTCAACTTTCAATAATGTAAAGGTGACTTAGTTACTACTGGTCCACTATAACTTACTTGTGTTTGAGAACAAATTTGACATTTTTGTAGGCGAGAGCAACCAGATAGGTGCTGATGATTGTACCAACGGCAAACAGAATGCCAGACTGGTACAAATCCATTTGATGGATCCTCCAGAACAGCCCTGAAACAACGAACATACAACACCATTAGTTTTTTCCAGATAAGCTAGCTGAGCCAAGAAAATAATGAACACTACTTATACCAGGTACTGGAGCACAGATTCATCTGACTGAATATTTATAGTTAAACGACAAATGTAAACAAAGAAGTCATTACTGACTTTGTTCTCCATTGACTTTAGTGTGTAGACTATGAGATTTTTTATGTGTGCTATTTATAGCTACTTTACAATACACTATGCGCACTGGAGATGATACAATTTGTCATTTTCATAACAATTTAGACAAATGAATTTACATACTTCTGTGAAGTGTACAAAATTACAACTTCATTGTACTTCAAGGTATTATTTATTGGATTCTGTTGAAGGAATGACACCCTTTTTTGTGCATAATGTTTTAAAGAACTTGATGTGTTTTCATTTGACTTTATTCCCAATTTCAGTAATAAAATTGTTACTCAAATGGGTTACTGTTCCCAAATGCAGGATTATATTATTACCCATATGTGCCGTTGTGGTCAACATAGTTAAGTCGCAGGAACTCGATTTATTGGATAAAAATGGTTTTACCACAGGATTTTGACGTTATATCAATAAGATATAGCCAAATCTGCCGATAAAGCCAGATTTCCCGTTGCTCAAATACATGCATTGTAGTACGTATACATTCCATACATTACTTGTAAAATATGTGTGAACAGATGGTTTTCAATATTTTGTTTATGGTATAAAATAAAATATATTGGGCCAATTTTGTGTATATGCATTTCCATAACAAAACTGACCTAGCATATATCATTAGCTAACGTTCTACATAATCAGTTAACGAAATCAACAATAAACGGTAGGTAGACAATATTGACAACGTGGCAACGCCGGTATACCGGCAAGTTAAAATCCTTGTTTTTTCTTCAACTACGACGACTTACAGATCGGAACTGCTGAAACAATTAAAGCATTTCCGTAGAAAAGAGCTGATGACTTAGTTGAAACATTTCTGCTAAAGTCCTGCAGCAGGAGTTCCTCCTCCTTAGTGAGAGATTTGGGTGTCTTGCTTTTGCTGGCCATTTTATTCCGGAAGTGAGAACGTACTCAGGCGGAAGTTGGAAAAGAGCGCCATCTCGAAGAAGGGGGATAATTTCCTGTTCATTTTTCCCGCGAAAATTAAATTCTATCTCTTAGGACATACGTTTTTTTACCAGAGACATATAAGCCAGTAGCACATACGTCTCCGTGATAACACCGATGTAGACCTTATGAATTGAATCATGTTTATGGACTATCCGCAAAATAGGATGAGGTTCTTTCACTCAAGACATCACCGGTGGTGCCCCGTCTATCTTCCGAGCTGAAAAAAAATATTTTCATTAAGCATTTGATGACATGGATCTTATTAATCTGAAATAGCCGGAGGAAAGAAACAAATAAACTGTCCCATGCTTGGCCATGACACGAATAAGCGGAAATATGGCTTCATAGGTCTTCAAATGAGGGTTTATTTTCACATTCATTGCAATTAATTTTGATATTTCTTTACAGTATAGTATACAGATCTAGATCTATATGCAATGCATTTTTAACAGTAACTGTTTTTTTTGTTCGAAGTCATAGTCACTGGCGCCATTAATCACATCGTCAATGTTCATCACTCAATTGTGTCACTATCAGGAAGAGACGTATACAACAAAAGTTATAGTTTCCATTGCTAAAATATTTATTCAGATAAAAACATTGCCGTGCAATTATCTTTTTTGCCTTACCATAAAACAGACAAATCATACAAAGTTCTATAGGTATACGTATCTGGTTGTATAAACTTTTGAAACCTAAAAAAAACACTGGATAAAAATGAAAGTTTTGCAATTTGAAGTTTCAGAAAGTTATAAAAATCGGAGACATTTGACCAACAGGTCTCAACAGCAACATTTACTGTGCGTTAAGTATTATGTATATATTGCATTATTCGGCTATACAGAGACATATGCAGCCAATAAGAGATATATAAACTATATGACATGGTTTTCTACGCCTCTGTTGTATGATATTACTATATCTTTAATTATATTTAGCCTACTATTTGCATAATTTACCTTTTGGATCAAGTGCGTGCGTTACACCATATGTTCAATATTTTCCATGGAAAAGCTCCTCAATATATGTATCATTTTTTTAACAGGAATCCATGTCCGTATAGTACTCGCTCAAATATATGTAATTTTACTGTTCCTAATGTAAAAGGTTCTGAATCTACAACTTTTTATTTTACTGGTACCAAAGATTGGAATTTACTTCCTGAAAACATCAAAAGTTTAAATAATAAATTCACTTTTAAATATAAGGTGAAGAGATGAAAGGAAAACAAGAAAGTGAATATGTGTACTTTTAATATGATTCTATGTTTTTAGATTATTGAATATTTTATTGCGGTTTCACATTTAAATAGAGAAAAGTATTGTGTGTACTTTTAAACTGACCATCATGTTTAAATGGAATAGCAGTCTATTTTTATGAATGATGTTAACAAATGTATCAAATAATGTATAACACCAATACTAAATTTTAAAATTGTATTTTAGTTTCTTTTAAAGGACCCCAATGGACATAAGCTTTTAGCTTTTTGGGTTATCCTAGGAAAAAGGCTGCAATTTAGATAAAAATTCCAATCTATCGATCTCATATATTAACTAGTGCTCAATGTTGTTATTTTAAGATAGAAGTACTTTTTTTAATATTGTACTGTAATCTACTCTGTGATATTTATGTATTGTAATATGCCTATTTTTACCTGAATAAATATTATTATTATTACCTACATTAGAGCCTAAACTATGGAGTTCTGAGTAATTTTAGATTAAAGTTTAGATCGATTTTCAATAAAAACGACACCCACAATAATCATATACATCTATACGTCTATATGATCATTGGGGATGTCATTTTTACCGAAAGTCGCCCTAAACCCATAAAACATGTAAAATTACTCTGAACACCTTAGTTTAGGTTCAAATGTATAGCTGTAACAAATTACCAGGTCCCTGTGCGTGCGTTCACTGGCAGCCCTCACCGGCTGAATATCATAAACTTCAACTTGTACGTCAAACGTAAAGCCACAGGTATCTACCTCGAACAAAAGGGATATACTATACACATTTAACACCGATGTGTTCAGCAAATATCCTCTTTTCATTCGAGAAAGACACCTCTTGGCGTGATTGATCGTTTACGAGTTATCTCTCTTTCCAGCGTTCTTTTCTCTGAAGTTAATGGCGGAGGAATCATGGAATCCGGACAGTGACAGGTAGGATTTTGCAAATAATTAATTGAATATTGTGTGAAAGTGACGATTTGTTTCTAAAATATCAGTTTGAAGTGTGCTCTGGGCACGGGTCGCATATTTCCCGCATATTATAGACGGCCAGAGTTCTGACGTTCAATCGACGACAGACCGATATGAAAAAAGTCGATAAAACGTCAGAATAATTCGGACTATATGCAATGCCCAGATATTTAGCTGAAGAGACCAGTTCAAGTTTGTGATTGTGGAGGATATAGTCATGTTTAAACTGTTTTTTCTTTTGTGAGACTGTAAGGACTGTGCATTTGTCTGGATGGAAAGCCATCAACCAGTCTTGCTCCCACCTAGCAGCTGCATCTAAATCCAACTGTAGTGCACAGTCACTTTGGGATTTCATGGTTTTGATGATGATAGTGTCATTGGCAAACAGTCTGAGCTTACTGGATGATAAGTATTCTGGTAGATCATTAATGTATACCAAGAACAATACTGGGCCCAGAACTGTGCCTTGAGAGACACCTGAGGTGACTGGAGCCAGGTCAGAGGACTCTCCATTCAGGACAACTGTTTGTGTTCTGTTACTTAAGAAGGCAGAGACCCAGTTTAGTGTTTCGTTTTGGATACCATAACAGTTTAATTTATAGAGCAATCTTTTATGAGGAACTTTGTCAAAGGCTTCGACGGGGTAAGAGCAAAATCGCTTTTTACAAACCATGTGAAATAAATTTATTCAAAGCCTTACCAGTTTGGTCATTTACTAATCGATTATCTCTGATAATATACCGCTAGAGAATCAGAATGTCAACAAATAATCATGGAGACTGCCTAACTTGTGTGTGTGCGTATAACGTCATCAGTTTTCGACGGTCATGCTTTCCATGTTACAGTGGCCAAATTTAAACAGGACAATAAAAAAAGTTAATTCGAACGTGAACTGCTAAACTATATCTGTTTGAGGCAATAAATCTTATTAACCTCAGAATTAAAACAGAAAAGTCATTTTAAACAGTTTAAAACAGTTCAAAGTTTTTTTGATGTTGAATTTTTGTTTTCATAGCAAGAAAAAGTTACTGCTCAGCCATTTCCCCATCCTCGATATCTATCTATATATGTTATACTCCACAGAGATATTCAGGGGATACGCTCGCTTTCACTCTTTACACCCCAAGTGGATACAAAAACCTGACCAACCACAAGGCTGATTCCTGTCCTTTGAAGATTACAAAGGAGCAAAGCCTGTCATTTGTTACCATTAAAGGGGCATCACGGTGAAGTAACTTTATTTTTTGCCTTTTTTTCAAATACTACATAAACATATCAAGTGAAACTCCTTATGGAAAATAACGATCGGATTTGGCTGAAATAGGTTCATAAAAATGATTAAATCTAAGAAAATCATTGGTATTTCTACCTGTCTGACCAACGTTTTGTTCAGGGATTTCCCTCTATTAGCGCATGCGCATAGCACACCATTTCTTTGTAAACAAAATGACTGGCCGTGTGAAGTAAGCGAAAGAAAAGTGTTGTACCGTGTCAGCTACGAAACGAAAAGTTGACAAATGGTCAAATGGTGATAGCGCAAGGAGTACGTTACGGAATCATTATTGCAGGTGGGCAGTATTCAAAGGAGAAAATAACTGCCGTAGCAGTTAGTACAGTGCATGTATTCTTCCGGATAGCCGGTTAAGCTGAAATGGAATCGACAGAAATGCTAGCGCTGTTTATGTTATGAATAAATATCTAAAACTATTAAGCTCGCTAGTATCTTTGTC